CAAAAATATCAATGATAATCACAAGGGGGCAGCTCCCTGTTTCTCAAGATTATTCTCAAGATTACAATCTAACTTTATCTTCAGCTAGTTCCTGAAACACTGAACCGGCTAATCCTAGATTTCTGATTCTTCCCTCCCTGCTTAGATTTTTGGCTCTATTTTTTTCTTGCTAGGGGCATCTGGATTTATCCAGGTCTTTCAATACCAGCACTCAGGAAGTTGAGGCAAGTGGATCTCTGTGAGTTCGAGGCCAGCAGAACTACAGAGTGAGTGCCAGAACAGCCAGAGTGGTTATACAGAGATGCCTTGTCTTGAAAAGACCAGTGTGTGTGTGTGTGTGTGTGTGTGTGTGTGTGTGAGAAAGAGAGAGAGAGAGAGAGAGAGAGAGAGAGAGAGAGAGAGAGAGAGATTTGAGGACATCCATCATTCCATCATCAGGGAAAGAATCCAGAGTCAGAAGCATAAGGCTAATTCTATTTCTTCAGTTGCCAGCACAGATCGAGCCAATCTGGAGGCAGGGACATTCCCTTCTCCAGTGCTCATGGTTGTAGCCATGCGGTAGAGGTCCTGTCTGGGAAATTCTGGAGAGGGGAATCTGAACATGCTTACAGCCCACATGTGAAGACACCAGCTGAAGCAGTGAGAGCCGCTGGGCCTCTCTCTCTGCAGAGATAAGCTTCTGACAAAAGGAGTACATGGAAGATTGTAACTTTGCCAGTGGAGGAATTTCTAGAAGCACGTGTGCCACGAAAGCCAGCAGCCTCAGGAGAGCTACCCCGATGAGCGACGAGTGTGGAGTGTGTCAAGGAGGATGGGAAGGTCCCTCCAATCCCTGAGACTGCAAGCTGGTGAAAATGGAATGTTCCTGCTCCTGCTGTGTGCTCCAAGACCTCCCCTAATCGTGGTAGGCTGTGCTGCATCTGACTATATAGACACAGCCTGCCCCCATCCACACTCTGCAAGAATACAGATCAAGGGACGACACTGTCGTTAAGGTTCTGGATGATACAGAAGCGACACACAGTGGTGAAGAGTTCCTTATTATACATCCCTCCCTCCCTTACCCACTAATTGATAAATTTGCCATTTCTCTTAATTGAAACCATGCAATTCTTTCTCTTTTTAATTTTTTAAAGATTTGTCTAGTTATTTTACATGTATGTGTATTTTCTTGAGTATGTCCACCATGTGTGTTTAGATGCCCACAGAGGCAAGAAGAGGGTGTTGGATCTTCTGACCTTGGAGTTACAGGTGGTTGTGAGCCACTCATCCTGGGTGCTAGGAACTAAACTTAGGTCTCCTGGAAGAGCAACAAGCATCCTTAACTGCTGAATACTCTAGCACCCTAAGTACCTCTAGTACCTTAGATTTTATTTTTACTATGTATGTGTATGTAGTGTGTCTGTGTGTGTGCGTCTCTCTGTGTGTGGTGTGTGTGTGGCATATGTGTGTGTGGTGTGTGTATATGTGTATGTATGTGTGTCTGTGTCTCTGTGTGGGTTTGGGCAGGTTGAGTAAAGAGCACTTAGAGACCAGAAGAAAGTACTGGGTTCCCAAGAGCTAGAGTTACAGGCAGCTGTGAGGCCCTTGATATGAGTGTTGAGAACTGAACTCAGGTCGTCTGGAAGGGCAGCGAATATTCTTAACCACTGAGTTCTCTCCAACCCCCCTTCCCTGTCTAAATGTCACCTAATTCTGGAATTCTCCTTTGGAGGACCTGGCTAAGACGTGAACAGCAGACTGTATCCGAGGACCTGTGTAGCTACTCTGGGGAGCTGCCAACGAAGGGACTTTAGAAAGCGTGTTGTGGCCTTGCTGAAGGAGGTGTGTCACTGCGGGCTGGCTTCCAGCTTCAAAAGCCCAGGCCATACCTGGTTAGCTCTTTGGCTCATGCTTGTGCATCAGATGTCAGTTCTGAGTTAACTGCTCCAGTGCCATGCCCACCTGCCTGATGCCATACTCCCCACCATGATGGGCATGGACTCCCCCTCTGAAACTGTAAGCCCCAATAAACGCTTTCTTCTATAAGTTGCCTTGATCATGATATCTTATCATGGCAATAAAAAACCAACTAAGATACTGGTAAAATGAATCTTCAAACAGAAAGGCAAGTCAGTCATGGACTGGAGAGATGGTTCAGCAGTTAAGAACAGGTACTTCTCTTGGGGAAGACCTGTGTTCACTTCCTTACCTCTGGCCTCCCCAATCTCCTTCACTCATGTGTAGAAGCCCTCACACAGACCTATACACATAATTGAAAATGAAGAACTAAATAAAAAAATTTGGCTGGTAAAATTAATTTCAGAATAGTACTTTTTTGAAGAAACATTTTGTAAGTTAACCTCACAGCTTGCAATGCACACTTTTTATTATTCTGTTGGACTGAAAATAAGAGTTATGACTAGGTCTGTTGTAGTTATATTAGGGATGAATAATGTTACTTTCCATTGTAAAAATGACAGGTATAAAGTGTGAGTTTGCTAAAGACTGATCTTGTATACATAAGTTTATTTTCAAAGAGGTGTGTGTGTGTGTGTGTGTGTGTGTGTGTGTTTGGTACTGGGTATCAAACCTGGGACCTCACTTTACCACTGAGCTAAAACCCAAGCCCAACTCTTTGTATTTTTTTGTTGTTGCTGCTCTTCTTTGAGACAGGATTTTGTTATGCTGCCCAGGCTGGACAAGAACTCAAGACCCCGCTGCCTCATCTTCTCTTGCCATGCAGTCTTGGCAGGCCAGGAGCTTACTCTATTTCAGGCTTGTGTCAACCCAGCTGCCTTCATCTTTTGAGGACTTGAATTACAGGCATGAGTAACCACATGTGACTCTTTGTACTTTTGAGTAAAGATTTTACTCAACTTTTGGATCTTAACATTGGAAGAAAATATGCAAAATGAAAATAGATATTTCCATCTAGTTTTAAAAATTTTCATTGTCTATATTCATTGTACATGATACTATGTTGCATAAAGTCATTTTATATATTTTCTACTTTAAGCATATTCCTTCCCTTCCCATCACCTCACTTCTACCCTTCTCATTAGTCCCTTATATTTTGCTTCTATTTCCTTCCTTCCTTCATTTCTTCCTTCCTTCCTCCCTCCCTCCCTCTGTTCCCTTCCTTCCTTCCTTCTTTCTTTCTGTTCTTTTTTGTTGTTGATTTGTTTTTCAAAACAGGGTTTCTCTGTGTAAGAGTCCTGATTGTCCTAGAACTCACTTTGTAGACCAGGCTGGCCTTGAACTTACAGAGATCTGCAGGTCTCTGCCTTCTTAGGGCTGAGATTAAAGCTGTGTGCCACCACCACCCATCTTGCTTCTACTTTCTTGTCATAGAAGACAATTATCTTTATCTTTATAGTTTTATATTTTATTAATATTGTATCTAGATAATAAAACCATGTCACAGATAGAGAAGTGATTTTACGAATCAATATAAAACCTAGGAACTATATGTAAGACAAAAACATGATATTTGCTTTTCTGGAACTGACTTACTTCTCTAATATAATTATCTTGCAAATAACATAACTTTATTCTTCATTGTTGAAAAATTATATTATATATATGTATATACACACACACAGACACACACATATATATGCCATATTTTGCTTAATTCTCAATGTGAGACCGAAACTGGAGCAATATACTTTGCAGGTGAAGGGTTCTGTTTGCAGTTAAGACAGTTAAGAATAAGTTCCTGTTTGTCCTGTGTTAGGCCTTGCAAATTAAAGTTTCTTTGTAATTAAGAATAAGTTCCTGTTTCTTAGATCTAATGTAAACTACTAGCAACTGTAGAAGGCCACAACCACACTCTCCACCATAGATGGCGCTGCACCGCCAGGTGAGCTAGAAAGCTCACACGTGTTGGTAACTTTCCACTACTCCCAAGGTATCACCTGGGACTGGGAGCAATTGACCAATCCAAGAGTGACACGTCCGAAGCTAGGACTGTTTCATATATAAGGGATGGCTTCCTTCATATCTGGGTCTCCGCCATGTGGCTTATGCTCTAGCTCCCAAGAGGCATAAAGCTTTTCTGCAGAAGAATCCTGTGTCCCGCGTGGTTCTTGCAGGCGAGGCCGAGCGCAGGACAAGCAACCCCATTCACATGGTGTATATCCTTACCCATTCCTTCCCTTTTATTGTATCTTTCTAACAATATAAAACAGCTAACTCCCTTGCCTGTGTAACACCTCATGTCTCCTGTAAAAGGAACTTCAAGAGGCCAGCAGGGGCTGCCTCTCAAATCCTGACTTAGGGTATGACAGCCATCTGGCCAGTCCCAAATGCACCCAAAATTACAGCTTGCTTTAACTGGACAATTGTGAATTTTGTCTTTTCCCCGTTGCGATTCTCAGATTTTACACCAATACCGTTGTTGATTAACTTTGCCTGCTTCTGTAGTTAGCGACTGTAATTAGTGCAACAAGTTTCTCTGTGATGTTGACTTGGAATCAGGAGTGGTACAGCTGGGTTACATGGTTACTTTGTATAAAAATAAGTATTTTTATTCAGATTTTAAAAAAAGACATCCTATACAACCAAAGCAATTATATGATTGTATTATGAGAACAGACTAATACTCAAATGGGAAAGACGGAGATCTCAGAAGTAGACTTTTAGATAGATAGAGGAAACAGACAGATGACAACGGTGGTTTGCAAAAAGCTACGCAAAGGACACGGTCTTAACAAAACTATGCCATGTGTGAACCCCGTTAGTTCCGGCAGAGCACGAAATGTCAAAGTTCACATTGTAAGAAAAATAGGAGAAACTTCGGCTTTGGATTAGGAAACATTTCGCGAATCTGACTCAAAATCCTGATTACAAAACAAAGGAAACAACAGGAAGTAAAGATACAGACTGCTGTTTGGCTACATAAATACTAATCTGTAAACTGCAATTTCTAGGCCATTGGGAAGAGAGAACTACGCACCTGCGCTACCAGACCCTTCTAGCTTCCCGTCGCTTCCTTTTCCCGCCTTGGCCCCACCCACCTTCGGCTCAGCGTTTCCGGCCCAGCCCGGAACTAGAGCGCTTCCGCTTGGTCCTCGGATTCCCCGGCTCCTTCGAGTCTGTCACCAGGAGGGTGTCCTGGCTTACGGCCGCGCGGACCGGGCGGACTCGGCTTCGTCCCCCCAGCTCGTAGCCCCGTTCGCCGACTTCAGGGCGCCATGGCCGGGGCCCGCCGCGGCAGGCCGGGCGTGAGGC